CAAGGGGTGACAGGGGATTTGTCGCTGGGTTGATTCCTGAGAAAGTTCCTTCCCCCTTGTAAGGTGCTCTACTGTTCAATATTCCAAGCCTGTTCAGAAGCATGTGGGGTTCTGTGGTTTGGGGTTTAGGGGGGCAAGGGCTCCGCTTGAGCAAGGAGTACTTACGTACCATTATCGGGTTTCGGGTGGCTGAGATCACCAGAACGAAGTAGGCCTGTTTGTTCGACATCAATATTGCTTGTTGTCGTCATAGCCGTGGTGCACTCTAGCACAGATGTACGCTGACCTAAACCCTGACCCTTTCTTTCCTATGTGCCGAACCCTAAACCCTAAACCGTGAACCCTCTAAACCCTAAACCCTGAACCCCCTAAACCCTATAACCTGAACACCCTACACCCTACTGAACCCTCCCTTAGTCAGGTCGCCGGGGCCAAGCAGGCTGCTGAGGTCCTTGACGAGATCTTCACGCGACGGGCACGGGGCTTAGCGTTCAAGGTTAAGGGGCTTAGGGCTTATAAAGGGTTTAGGGTTTAGGGCGTAGGGTCACACGTTTAGGGTTTAGAGTCACACGCTTAGGGTTGTAATTAGATTTTAGGATTTTAGGTTTTCAGGGTTTCAGGGTTTTAGGGTTTTAGGGTTTTAGGGTTTTAGGGTTTTCGGGTTTTAGGGTTTTAGGGTTTTGTTAGGTTTTTTAGGGTTTTAGGGTTTTTGGGTTCACGGGATGTGGCGGCGTGGCGCGGCCTGGCGTCTGGGTGCAGAGCCTAGAGATTGAGCCCCCCGAGCCATTAAGCTCTAAGCCCTAAAGCCTAAAGCCCCAAAGCCCCCCCTAAACCCTAAACCCTAAACCCTAAACCCTAAACCCTAAACCCTAAACCCTAAGCCCTAAAGCCCCAAAGCCCCAGATCCTCTGGGCCCTCTCAAGCCCCAAATCCTCTAAACCCTCAAGCCCCAAAACCCTAAAAGCCCCCAAACCCCTAGAAGCCTAAACCCCAAACCCTAGACCCCAAACCCCAAACCCTAAACTCTAAACCCTAAACCCAAAGACCCCAAAAGCCCGAAATTTCTGAACCTTGCCTCTGCCGCCCAGGAACGGCCTCGCGCAGGGATCTCAGCAGTTCGTTTGGGGCTTTTTTGGTTAAGGTTGAGGGCTTGGGATGTTCCCCCTTACACTAACAGTCCTTAAGAGGGATTTTAGTACCCTCCATTATAATCCCTATTGAGGACCGTACACGGACTTGGCATCAAGAACTTTCCAGGGCAAGAACATGATCCGATGTGAGCTAGGCTTTTTCAGGGTTCAGGGCAGAAAGGCTTCACTTCCAGAGGCAGAACCAGGGTTCCTCTCGGTTCAAACGCGCCCCCACACTTCTTTACCGCTGTTGGGGATCCTGGCAAGTGTGAGCTTCCCCGCGGCGCAAACCTTAGCCTGGATTGCCACAAATTTGTTACCTGAACGATCTCAACGTGACAACATTCGCTATGTGAGTGTTGGCTTGGCTGGTTCGGCTTTGGCCGACTTGAAATTTGAGTTCGGTCTCTACGCTTGGGCTTGGCTGCTGGCGCGGGTCTGCACCGTTTCGAGTTGTACTCTTGTCCAGCTGACCAATTTTTCTCCCTGCGCCCTACACCCTACACCCTACACCCTACACCCTACACCCTACACCCTACACCCTACACCCTACACCCTACACCAAATTTGTAATATGCCCTAAATGGCACACCTTCCGAATGTTTTCTTCTTCTGTCTTAACACGCACGAAGGTCCAAGACCCCGGGCCAAGGACTAGACGGTTTAGGCTTTTGGTTTTAGGGTTTACCTAGACCCTAAACCCCAGACCCCAAACCCCAAACCCCAAACCCCAAACCCTAAACCCTAAACCCTAAACCCCAAACCCTAAACCCATACCAGGGTTCAGAGTCCTAGAACACAGTGTTTGGAGCTCCATCCTGAAAAGCCGGCAGCAGCGGAAAGTCAAATCTGAATGTCACCTGTCGGGCCCCAAGCCCAAAGCCCTTAGCTGTGGGGCTTAGGCTTCCTGAGCCCAAAACGCTTCGCTTGAGGAGTTAGGGTTCCCGAAACCCTAAATCCCAAACCCTAAACCCTAAACCCTATCAAGCCTCAACAGGGTGCAGAGCCGAGATGCCGATGAAGCAATCCGAGGCCAAGTCGCTGTCGGATTTCTTCGGCCGCCAGGACGGGGCTCCTGGTTTTTCTCAGAGCTTTGGGGGGTTTAGGGTTTAGGGTTTAGGGTTTGGGGTTTAGGGTTTAGGGTTTAGGGTTCCCCTTTTCGGGGGGTTCTTGCAATTAGGATTGTCTCGTCCTGGGGTGGTTTTTCAGGGTCCCCTAAGCCCGTCCTTGTTGGGAATTGGGGGCTCCAATTCGGGTTTGGAGTCCATAGAGTTTGGGGCGGCCACGGCGGCTGCAGCCACCTCACTTTTCGGGTATCGCCGTGATTATGGCTGCTTGGATGTTGCTTCGCAGTGAGAACCAAGAATCATACGGGAGTAATTCGTCTACCGTCGCCGATTACACCGACCGAAAACCCCTGAAACGCAGTCAACTCGCTGAATCCTGTTCGCACTCACTTCGGGGGGTCTCAACTTTCCTTCCCTCCCTGGCCCAGGTAGACTCAGGGTTTCTACCTGCAGGGTTTCGGGTTTTTGGGACACCTGCAACTCTCTAACTACCTATGGCCTTGTAGCACTTGTTCTTTCAGGCTTCGTTTTAGGGTTTGGTTTTGTCGTTTACCGTCTAGAATTTGGGCTAACCCTAAACCCTAAACCCTATACCCTAAACCCTAAACCCTAAACCCTAAACCCTAAACCCTATAAATCCTAAACCCCTTGAACTCCTGAACCCCAGGGCCCCGAAACCCCCGAGCGCATGCAGGTGAAAGGCGATGTCGTGCATGGCGGCCGCCTCGGCAAGTGGGCAGAACCCCTCGCCCTATGGGGTTTCATTCACATTTCGCTTCGGTTTTCTTTGGAGCCTAGGCTTTAGGGTTTAGGGTTTATATAGGGTTTAGGGTTTAGGTATTGCGTACTAAAAGGGGTACTTGGGGTGCTCGAGGCAGGGTGGGGTTCGGGGTTCGAAGGATTGGTAGCTGGGTTCCGAATTTGCTACAGTTAGCGTTTAGGGTTTCTGGTTTAGGGTTTAGGGCAACGATTACAAGCTTTAAGTTCCCAGGTCAGCAGGTTTTGTACTGGATACCAAGTTGAAACAGCCGCACAAAACCCACCCACTGCTGCATTATTATGGACTCTTCCCCTGAAACCTAAACCCACTTGCAGAGCCCCTTGTTTTAACATCTAGTTTTTCAGGCATGGCTGAATCCCAAACCCAAGCCCTGTTAGGGTTTAGGGGTTTAGGGGTTTAGGGGTTTAGGGGTTTAGGGGTTTAGGGGTTTAGGGGTTTAGGGGTTTAGGGGTTTAGGGGTTTAGGGGTTCAGGGGCTTGGGGGCTTAGGGGCTTAGGGGCTTAGGGGTTTAGGGGTTTAGGGTCTTTGGGGTTTAGGGTTTAGGGTAGAACCCTACACTTCCTAGAATAAGGCATCGAGCCGCGCCCCTTCAAGTTGGAGCTCGAGACGCTGAAGCATCCAGCTTCCTGGGCCAGTTTTTTTTTTTTTTTTTGGGGGGGGGGGGGGGGGGGTGGGGTGGGGTAGGGTTTATTATAGAGTTTAGGGCTTAGGTTAAGCCCCTTTAAAACCAAAAAAAGCTAGGTTGCTCTTGAGTCTAGATTATCGGGTGTAGGGCTAAGGCTGTTGGGTTTGGGTTTAGGCTTTTCCCTACACCACTAGACCCTGAACCCTAAACCCCTCAACCCTCAAGCCCCAAGCACTGGGAGCGCTTGGCTACAAAAGGTTTGTCATCTATGCGGCAGGAGGGGTGATGTGAAAGACCTGCAAAGATGCGGCAAGGTATCCGATGAGAGTATTCATACAAGCCTTAGACTCTAAGCCTTAAACCCCTAAGCCTTAGACTAGAGAGAGCATCCCAACAAAGTGCGTCTAAGAACCTCAAGAGAATCCTCAGATTGGGACTTCTCGAAACCCAGGGCAAACCCGAAGCCCTCATAGACTGAAAAAAACCCTAATGCCTCCACCCTAAACCCTAAACTCTAACCCTATAATTAAACCCTATGAACCCTAAAAACCCTAAAAACCCTAAAAACCCTGAACCCTAAACCCCATAAACCCCATAAACCCTATAAACCCTATAAACCCTATAAACCCTATAAACCCTATAAACCCTATAAACCCTATAAACCCTATAAACCCTATAAACCCTATAAACCCTATAAACCCTAAACCCTAAACCCTAAACATTATTGCTGCACGCCAGTGATTCCGGTTTAAAAAAACACCCTAAACCCTAACCCTAAACCCTAAACCCTAACCCCCCCTGATTCTTGGGAGCCCCCGTATAACAGGGGGGGCCCTCGGTGTGGTCCAGGGCGGCGCACTCAGCTTCGGGACAGGGAGGCTCAGGGTGCCCTTAGACTAACAGTCCTTACTAGGGTTTAGGGCTTAGGGTTATGGTTTAGGGTTCAGGGTTTAGGGTTTAGGATTTAGGGTTTAGGGTTTAGGGTTGAGGGGATTGTGATGGGCATTAAAGACTGTTCGTATAAAGGGGAAGATCCCGAGGCTCAGGGTTTAGATTTCCAAAAGTTGGGGGCTTCAGGGTTTAGGCTTTAGGGTTCAGGGTTACAGTAGGGTCTGGGGTCTAGGGTTTAGGGCTTACCTGGGGTTTAGGGTTTAGGGTGTCAGGTGTCAGGCAGAAGTGCAGACGTTGATCACACATGAGAACGGGCCAAAACCGTGGTAATTGCGGTTTTATCTTGGCAGGACATTTGCATGCTGAAGTGTCAAAAGCCCTGCAATGCGACGGGGAACCTTGAAAAACGACGCTCCTTAAACCCTTTTGTAAAGCGACGGGGAACATTGAAAAGCGCGCGGCCTAGGCCCGACACCTAGAGTTTTGACGGTCGCTCGCATGTGCACATGAAGGCAGCCAAAAGATTTTTGCATCACCAAGAAGTGCTCGACACGGCTGCCCAGCAAGGTAGACACTTTCTCCACTTCACAATCAACATACGACACGTTCTGAGGAGAGCCACGTGCGCATTTTTCTCGAGAGTGCAGTCGAGTAGAGCCTCATCAGACCCTGCAGGAACTCGCTGCGCAATATGCGCTGACCTACGAACCGACTGTCTCGGCAAAAAAAACATCCCTTAACCTGCACCGCACTAGACGCCTTTCTTAGCCAAGCGCTGAAGTCAACAAGCTTGCTGTAGCTTCCCTTCTTTTCTATCTTTTCTACACCCAAGACCAAAGCCCTGAACGCAACAAACCCTCTAAGCTCCGAAAGCCCCATGGAGTGTTACAAGGGTTGGGGTTTGGGACCCTAAACCTTAAACCCCTAACCACCCCCCCCTCCTCCAAAAAATAAGAAGAAGAAGAAGTAATAGATAAAGAAATACAAATTAGTCTTAGTTGACGATCGACAAACAAGACTGAATACCCCAAAACCCTGAAAGCGCTAGCCAAAAACACCTGACCACCCCAAGCCCTGAAGCCCTTGCACCTCCCCTAACGCCCCTCTCCCCCGCACTTCTCAAGTTGAAGCCCTGTTAAACCCTATGAACCCCTACGAAATCCTATGAAACCCTATGAAACCCTTTGAAACCCTGTGAAAGCCTATGAAACCCCATGAACACGCCCAAGAAACAAGGGCCTCGTGGTGGGCTGTGGTCTGGGTGGCCAGACCAGTGAGGTGGATTGGAAGGACCGACCTGCGGGGCTCTCGGGTCTAGGGTTTAGTAGTCCCGGGACTTGAACCTTTGCTCAGGCTCAGTTCAGCATACTGGATATTGAAAAGAGCTCAGGTTCTCTGCCGTGACATGCAATTGATACGGAATGCTTGCTTGGGCTTTTGTAAATGGAATGGGAAGAACATATCAAAATGCTTGTCCACTGGCCGTTGCCATTGCTCCAAATGCTATTCCTGTCACAGAATGTTCGCGTGCAAAAGCCGAAGCGCATACGATATATAAGTTGGCTGAACCGTTCAGATGTTTATTGGTATTTTATTGGTATTTGCATCAAGAGTCATTACTAGGTTCTCTTCGTTTACATCGGAACGTCTTTCGACCCCGATGTTAGTTCCGCTTTTTTCTGACACGTAACGCACGAATGCCACACGTAATGCAATGGTCATGCTGGCCGAGTAAGTTCTTCACACGCTGAAGAAGACAACGCGAGGTCGATCTTAGAAGGGGTCCGCGAAGCATTCCACTTGCAGCTGAGGCAACATGTTTGGTGTCAGCTTCCAGCACAAATATACATCCTAAAGCTCCCGCACCCACCCTTAAACCCTGAGCACTGAATTCTCCAAAGCCCGAATCCACAGCCCACCTCGTTTCGAAGATCCTTACCAACACCCCAAAAGAACTTAGTTACTCCTAGGAGCCCCGCCGCGTCCTCTTCGCCGTGCTTGACGAGGCGGCGTACGAGGCCTGTGCCGGTGCCGGGAGCTTCCACTGCAGGGCTTGTGGTACCCTTCACTTTGGTTTCTGGTTCCGGGTTCCCTTAAAACATTAGCCACCCCCCCGTATTATAATGTGGTTACTGATTACTGGGCTACCAGATCTATATGGGTTTGGGGTCTGCTACATCTCTAATCCCGAAACGCTAAGTCCCCAAACCTTTAGTGGAAGACACGTGCTTAATCCTGACATCATGAGAGGATTTTGAGGATTCTTCATGGAGTCTTGGATCAAATCTACGTACATCCGTGCCCCCTTCAACACTGGGTCGCTGTTAAGAACTTCAACGAAGTTACAAGAACAAGGATACAAAGAAGACACGTTGCCTGTCTACCTACATTCTGGTGAACCTTCATTTCTAATCCCCTCAACCTTATCGGCAATCCCTATCAGGCTGCGGCCAAAGAGGAGGCTCTCGACGTCGGACGCAACTTGCCGCTTCTGCCCGAGGTCCTGCAGGGTTTGGTGTTTGGGTCCTGGGGGGGGGGGCTTCAGAGGATCAAAGGGCTGAACCGGCTGAACCCTAAGCCCTAAACCCTAAACCCCAAACCCTAAGCCCTAGACCCAAATAGATCCCAAACCCTGCAGACCCTTAGGGGATTAAATTCTGTCGACTCCAAACTCCGCGCCTCATCAACGGCGACAGTGTGGTAAGCTTGACAGGCATCCTTGGGTATGTCGAAATTTGGCAGTGGCTTCTTGTGAAGCACGTCTTCAGCTTCCTCAAGCTGGCGTTCTGGAGTGCAACTTAGGTTGCCGGGGGATTGACATGCCTGGCGCCTTCCAGCTGATTGACACCGATCTAGACACGCTCACGCCTACCGCCATCGAATAAGCCCTTAGACACCCTAATTCAGGGGTGAAGAATCTTTGCGATCTGAATCACTGACCTTACGAATTCCGAGCCGAAAAAAGGCTTAATAACTTGCAAGCCCTTTGGCTTTAGCCCACCGTTACACGAAAATGTTTATATACAAAAAACATGTAGAACTGTATAATATATAGACTATATGCTTATAGACATGTGCGGTGTGTATATACATGTATCGCACCTGCGTAGTTCAAACGGAGTCTTTCGATCGCGCTTTGTCCGTTGAGGTAACATCCCTCACCAGAGAATCGTGGACTTCAGGGGCCGTTCGGATCAGTGGGCGGTTTAGGGTTTAGGGTTTAGGGTTTAGGGTTTAGGGTTTAGGGTTTAGGGTTTAGGGTTTAGGGTGGACTGTTCAGCCTCTCCCAGGGTTTGGCCAGGGTGTCTGCTCCCTTTCGCGATGTTGGGGTACAGGGCTTAGGCTTTACTTGTTGGTTCTTCGTCAGGAGTTAGGGAACTAGGTAAGGTGCCCTATGCAATCCCTTAAGTGGGTATATTCATCATATTCAGATTCATATATCTCTATATGTATGTATATATAAGGTGATTTTCAGGTACCTCCTGCCCGAATTCCTTAGGAACGACTGGTACCAGTAGGAGCTTCGGCTTTACGGTTGAGCGTGCAAACCCCTGCTGGTGAGGAGCATCTCCTCCAAAGTGGGGCAGTGAAGGCCCTGAGCGCGCAGAGCATTTGAGACTTTTCTTGGACCCAAAATCCAAAAGCCTAAACCCTAAACCCTAAACCCTCAACCCTCAACCCTCAACCCTAAACCCTAAACCCTAAAGCCTCCCTGTCCGGAGGGTTTTAAATAGAGTTCAGAAGGTTGCCGAAGCCGTGTCTAAGCCGCTTTTGGGTCTAGGGTCGATAGGGTTTATTGTTCAGGGTGTACAGTACCTGCAGGAAGCCCTAGACCCTGTAAAGCCTTGGAAGCCCCGATGACAACCGAAGAGCTCTCAAGATCCTTCAACCCCCGACAGGAGGCATGGGTAGTCAGTCAACATTCGGGTTATAAACTACAGTCAATAAGCCTGTACTCAGGTATAACTATCCTTCTCCTGCTTCTAGCCCAACTTCTACCCACTCCTACAAACCCTGAACCCTCAACCCTCAAATCTCAGCCCTGGGCCCTCAACCCAAACCCTCAAGCCTAAACCCTAAACCCTCAACCCTAAACCCTAAACCCTAGACCCTAAACCATAAACCCTACCTCGGAGGCCGTGGCTGTGTCCGTGCCAAGCCGCCGCCTCGCGCCGCTTCGGCATCGAAGTGGGCCCTGCACTTGGTCTCAGAGGGGGTTTAGGGTTTAGGGTTTAGGGTTTATAGGGTATGTCGAAATTATTCAGGGTTCAGGTCCGGGGAAAGTTTCGAGGAGTTTCGAGGAAATTTTTTTAATTTTTGAACAATTTCAATTTACAAGGGTTTAGGGTTTAGGGTTTAGATCTTTAGATCTCATAGAGGTTCAGGGTTCCGGATTTAGGGTTGGGTTGGTTTGGTCCGGGGAGGGGGGGGCTGAAGATCTTCTAGCGTTTAGGAATTAAGATCTTCAACCTCAACCTTTTCCTACAACCGTGCAAAACCCTAGAGCTCCTTTCCCAGCCCGATTTACACACAAGGTTGAGCTTCAGAGATTCACTCCAGGCTTTACGCTTTAGGGTTTAGGGTTAGGAGGTTCACTGGTACATATAGCCCAAGTGTAAAGGGCTTTGTGTTTAGGGTGTTGGCTCACCCAGCCATAACCGTCCTAGGGCCACAGCCACATGAGGCAACTTGGGGCGTATGTCTGAACAGTAGTTGCAGTCGTACTTGAGTTAAAGTTCTTTCTCCTGAACCTCCAAGTAGGGCCCAGTTTTGGGGGGTTCAGGGTTCAGGAGGTTAAGTCCAGAATTTTGGGCTTTGGAGCACTTTTTGGGGAGAGGGGGGGGGGGTCGTGGGGCTAAGGGCTTAGGGATCAGAACTGCGGCTCAGGAAAGCGCCCGAACCCGCAGGCACGCCAAGTATGAGGGTGCAGGGATGTGCGGATTGTGGGCCCACTGCCGTGGGGTTTAGGGGGTTTAGGGTTTAGGGTTTGGGGTTTAGGGTTTAGGGTTTAGGGTTTAGGGTGTGGGTTTAGGTTTGAGGGTCTAGGGCTAGCCTCCTTCCAGTCCAGAGTGTCAGGAGTTGGGGCGGTTCTTCGCGTTTAGCGCGATGTTGGGGCTTCAGGGCTTCCTAGGCACACACGGCTACGGGAACCCAACCAAAACTGAAACCCAGACAGTGGGCGAGGCGAACGGTCCTTCCAGTTCATGGGTCGAATGGGCCTAGTCAGGTATAGGTGGTATGTATAAGGGTTACGTAGGGGAGTAATTAGGATTACGTGTCCATTCCTATTCCCCTTAAGGGATGACATGCTGAATGTGCACGGAGGTGCAGTGTATGACATGGCAGAGCATTTTGTTTGGCAAACATGAAGCAGTGAGGCGTTGTCTAATGCAAACTCTTCGGATTCTCCAAAGGCTTCAGGTTCGGAGCGTAGTTCCTGGGGGACAGAGTAGGCCCTCATCCCCTTTTTCTTGGGTTCTGGTTCCCTTATACTCCCCGTTTAGACCAAAAGCGTACCCATTCTATTCCTAGGTTACTGGTGATGGGAAGCTTGCGGCCTAGCATGGACCCTTCAAACGGGATCCTTTTTTTTTTATAACCCTTGTATGGAAAAAAAGAATCCAGGGGCCCATACATCAGAGCCCTTCATAAGGGACCATACTAAGAGCCCATGTAACTACCCGAAGACTTAGACTGACCAATAAGAAGCCGCACTCGTCAGAGATCAGGGCGCATGGTGTTGAAGGCTCTGCTAAACCTCTAAGCCGCAAGACAGTGAGAGTCAGAGATGCATCCTGCCCAGCGTTTCAGCTGACGGCAAAACTGCCCGGTCTTGCCAATCAACTTAGTGAAGTTGGTGTAGCCGAGCCTCTTGTGTTGCAGGCATCTCAGTGATATTCAGGATCACACGATTCCTGGAAGCAGGAGCATTGAGAGCAACTCCAGCCATGCATCAAAGTTGTTGCAGGTTAGGCCCCCAGGTCCTTCCATCCCTACCAGCATGGCCGCGCGCGCTTCGAACATGGAAAGCGGCGAAGCCCTGCTGGCCCAGGATGTGGAGACAGGCGCTTGGGCTCAGGGGTTCAGGGCTGAAGGGCTGAAGAGTTGAGGGGTTTAAGGGTTTCGTTCATGGTTTGGGGTTTTTGTGTGGTCTTGTGAGGATGTAATATGTGCAGAGGGGTTGAAGGGTTTGACAAGCGGCAGCGGATTTAGACGTTTGAGAGGCTCAGAGATTTCGTGTTTTTTGGGGTGCCGGCCCCGACCCTAAAAGCCCCCACTAAAGACCCCTAAGCCCCTCACCTGCCTGAGGCCCCAAAAAGCCCCCACTAAAGCCCCCACTAAGGCCCCCACAAAAGCCCCCTAAGCCGACCCCCTAAAAAACTCTAAAAGCCCCTAAAAACCCCCTGAAAGCCCCTAAAGCACCTTCAGCCCAAGTCCGAGAATCCACCACGCAGACACGACTCTCGCCCTCCTCAAGCCCTGGGATGGTTGGAACTAAGCCCTGATATCCCCATAAAATCCCCTAAGCCCCCCCCTTAAAAACCCCCTAAACCCTAAGCCCTAAGCTCTAAGCCCTAAGCCCTAAACCCTAAACCCAAAGAGGCTCCTTTCTAAACACTCATAAAGCCTAGTCTCTGAACAACAGACTGTAGCAGCTCTGGAAAACGGGCGTGCAAGAGACATCCGGAGCCCCAAACAGGGCCTGTAATAGGGTTTAGGGTTTAGGGTTTGCAGGGCTTAGAGTCATTTTCGTGTTTAGCGAGTCAAAAAGTCAACGGGCCGTTCCCCAAACCCGACAGTCCAAAGGACTTAGGGCCCCCTACTAGTGGTACCCTTTTTCCCCTGATCTAAGGGCAGTTTCATGGTCCCTTAATTCGGTCCCTTACCTTCTTTAAAGGGTTCGGAAGTATGGGCCCCCAATTTGTGTAGGGGGTATACGGGCTTCGGAAGTATGAGCCTGAACCCCATAGCCGAAGCCCCCAAAACCAAGCCTGTTTCTGTAGGGTTGAGGAGGTTTCTCTGTAAACCCCACTGAGTCAAAAGGGGGTTGTTTGCTTCTCAGCACAGGGTTCCTAAACCCCGTGGCGATCAGTTCGAAAACTCGAAGCCTAAACTCCTGAACAAAGCAGGCCTAGAAGCCCTAAACCGCCAAACCCTCTTACTCAAGCAGGCCTTAGACCCCCAACCCCTCGGAAGCCATATTACCCTGAACCCTAAACCCTAAACCCTAAGCCCTAAACCCTAAACCCTAAAACCCTAAAACCCTAAACCCTAAACCCTAAACCCTAAACCCTAAACCCTAAACCCTAAACCCTAAACCCTAAACCCTAAACCCTAAACCCTAAACCCTAAACCCTATGCCATGCAGGCTGCCCCCGGGCGGCGTTCAGAGAATCCAGGCGTGGGCGGACAGCAGGGGCCTCAGCGCCGGAGTTGGAGCTTGGCATGGGTTGAGGACCCCAAGGGGGGTTTTAGGGTTTAGGGTTTAGGGTTTAGGTTTTAGTGTTGAGTAGTTGAAGTCTTTGAGGTTTCGACATGGTTTTTGGGGTTTAGGAAGTTTAGGGTATTTAGGGTCTAAGGCTAAGGCCTTGCGGTCTACAGGGCTCAAAACGAGCGTACGACCAAACTGAGCTGGATTGGACTGCTTTCTGAGGTCCCCGCGGATCACATCAAGTTCACATCCTTATACATTTTAGTTTCGACTTTAATTCGGGGTTAGGGTGTTTTCTGTAGAGTTCAAGGCTGTGTCGCATACTGTATACCTCCAGGCTTCATCTATTTTGCAAAGTTACATGGTCAAGTCGGGTCTTGGTGCTTCGCAACCCTAACTCTGGATATGGGTGGTTGTCAAAATCATAATCCCTTTTGGGGTACCCTAAATATT